AACAGTCCATGGAAAGAGATGATGCAGAGATCTAAAAGTTCAGTGCCTTGCTACAGTGGGAGGAAGATCATCTTACACTTATCACCCTCTTCAAGGCTCAGGGACTTTTGGGGAAAAGGTTGGCAGAAAGAATGTAAGAGTCAGAGGATGGGATGGAGTGTTAACTGGAAGTATCCTCAGACCACTATGCTGGTTATAGTCACACCTTCTTCCCATGCTTGTCAAGGAGTCATTTAGCCCTCCCACACAATCAGTTGACCTTAGCTACATGTGGGGGAGGGGCTAAGAATATATAAGCTGAGAACACTGAGACACCTCTCACCGTTTTGTGCAGCTGTCAGGAAGTCACAGGATCTATATTTGAGTGTGGACTTTCCAGCAAAGGTGTAAATCAGGGCGTACCCACTCTTCTGTAAATAAACCCCCACCCTGTCCTCTAATAAACTCCTTAGCAAACCCAATAAACTCCTTAGGATTTAAAACAAAAAACAAACAAACAAAAAAAAAACAGAGCTAATGAAAAAGTTGACCCCATGTTACCAAATGCTTTGGTCTTTGATTTCTTATTCCTATTCCCACCCCCCATTGTGTGTGTGTGTGTGTGTGTGTGTGTATATATATATATATATCTTTGAGACAGGGTCTCCCTATAGCCCCAGCTGTCCTGGAACTCACTATATAAACTAGGGTGGCCTTGAATTCACAGAGATCACCTGCCTCTTCTGGGATTAAAAACATGTGCCACCCCACCTGGCTATATATATATTTTTTTATGTAACCTGCTACAAGTTATTTCTGGAAGATGTGTTAAAATTTGCCTGTTTTGGAATAAAAATAATTTTTAAAATATTCATTTAAAAAAGATGCATTAGTGTTCTCTTCATCCCTTGTTCTATGTTCTGTGAGCCTTAGGTATAGAGGTTGCATCCTAGATGTGCCAATTAGACTTGGATAATTCACAATCTCTGTGTGACCAGTTGTGGAACTCTCCATCTCTGTCTCTTGAAAAAGAAGCTTCTTTTGGTGGGTGGTGACTGTATACTTGTCTCTAAACTTAAGGATTCATATTTTGCACATAGTAAGATATTACATTTGTTTAGGGATGTCACAGCCTTGGAGTTTTCTCCTAGATCTATGACCTCTCCAGCTACGTGTATTTGGCTAGATTTATAGTATCAGACATGAGTTTCCTCCCATTGAGTGGGCTCTAAGTCCAATTAGGTAGCTGTTGATTACCCCCAAGATAAAAGTGCCACTATTACACCAATGTTGTTTGCTGTGTTGGTCACTGATACGGTTTTTAGGCCTTGAAGCTGGGGTTGAACCATCGACTGATGTTCTCCCTTAGCAGCTTGTATAGTGCTTGCCAAACCTATAAGAGCTAGCTTTCAGGGGAGGTGACTTCCAGGTCAGTTCCAGCTCTATTGCTCCAAATCCTGTGTCCAAAGTATGTCCTGTCTTCATCAATAGGGTCTTACCTTCCAGTTCTGGGAGCCATCAAGAACTGTGAGAGTAGCCCGTGTAATTTTGGGAGTCTCTTGGACTACCCTGGCCAACAACTCGAAGGAGTTTCTCCTGTCTGGCTGTTTCTTGTTATGTAGGCTTCAGCTATAGTCACAGACTCATGTAGAGATATTATATGTATAATTTTTCAGTAGGTTCTTGAACTAATACAATTCCCTCTGGTTTTTTATGCTAGTTAGGCACTATATCTCTCTCCTCATATTTTTTGTTAAGGTATATTCCATAGAAATAACCATTCTAAAATTTTGTAAAGGAAAGGGGAGTTTTAAAAATAAACAGGGAAATCTAAGCGTGTATAAGAATGTTGTTTTTGTTTTAAATTCAGCTTGCATCTATAACTACTATAATGCCATAGGAGTAATTAGTGCTTCCTCTAAGAGGAAAAAAAGTAAGAAAAAGCCATATTAACCATTCTGAGGGAAGAGTGAAGTCAACTGATATTGCCTAAAAATTGTTGAGGATTTAATGTTATCTTCCTTTTAAAACAGTGTTTATGAGTAAGGCTTAGTGAAATAAGAAGTGCAGTGACAATATATACAAGATAGTTGTATGGAATATTTAACTGAAGTTTGTCTAGGCCTAGCTGTAAATAAACATTTTTTTGTTTGTTTGATTGTTTGTTTTTGTCCTTTTTTTTTTTTTTTTTTTTTGAGACAGGATTTCCCTGTAGCCCCAGCTGTTCTGGAACTTGCTATGTAGACCGGGCTGGCCTCAAACTCACAGAGATCTTCCTGTCTCTGCCTCCCAAGTGCTTTCAATTAAAGATGTACACCACCACGCCTGGCTTAAATAAACATTTTTAACCTTGTAGATTTTTAAAAATAATTAATTTTCTGTCTTTATTAGAAGAGGCTAATTAAGATATCTATATAATGAAATATAAGTATTAGAAAATTTTTTCTAATAAGGTATATTGCCTTATTTACCCAATATGACATAAAGTGGGGCCATTGATCATGCCTTGAGGGACATAGGTGTTTATTTATTAAAAGGCACAGAAATTACAAAATTTTTAAATGGATAAATTTTTAAGTCAATAACAACCTGGTTGGTAGGTTTAAGGGACTACTGTAGAAGAGTGCACTCTAGGTATGGTTATTCAACATCCAGAAGGTTACTTACATTACTCTGATACTTTTTAGTACTGTGTAATATTTAGTAAAACCTAAATACTCTTAAATAAACTTTGTTCAGAAATACATTTTATTTTCAAAGTACTCTTTGTAATTGTTGGATAGGCATGTCCTCTGAAAGAACTAACCACAGCTGAATGTCTGAAACTGAACTATTTATAATATAGTCTGTAAAAAATATTAACCTCAATCATACAGAAGTAATAAATAGATGGATAGCTTTTGGAGTACTCTTACTCTTCTTTAAATAAACCATTGTAGCCATACCCAACAACAGCCCTGCTAAAAATATAATCAGGATTTCCCGAATAGGAACACTGTGAGTATAGCCTTTCTAGACTGTAGGAACTGCTATATAATCCCACCATTGAATTTATTATTAGCAACTAATTTATTATTAGAAACTAATCTCATGTTACTAATGTAAGGATATTCATTACTGTCTTGTCTTTCCCACAAGGCTATTTTATGCAGTTTGGGATTATGCTTAGCTAAAAATTAAATAAAACCAAACTGTGAGGTTTTTGTTTTACATAAAATATTTTCTCACATTTAAAATAAGTACAGAATTAAAGACTCATGAATATTTGTTAGTCTTAATATTCTAGTAGAGACCTTTTGAAATTATAAAAGATAGCTAACCTAAAAGCTAGTTCCTTTTTTCTAGGGCTCAAAAATGATTTATCCATCAAAGAGACTAGGGTGTTGTGGCTATGATTCATTTGGTAAATTGCTTGCCTAGCATACCTGAAGCCCTAGGTTTGATACCTAGTAGTAAATAAACCAAACTGGTAGAAGAAAGAAGAAAGAGAGAGGAGAGGGAGAGGAGGAGACGAGAAAAAGAAGTTAGAGAGCCAGCTGTGTAGTACATGCCTATAACCCTAGTTTTCTGGAGGCTGAAGCAGGAGGATTTCGAGTTTGAGGATAGCCCACTATGTATCAAGTTCAAGGCCAGTCTGGACTATTTAATGAAACCCTGTCTCCAAAACACGTGTGTGAGAACACAAGCAATACAAAATAAAAACTAAGAATATTTTGAATAATTTACTAAATAGTCTTCAGATAGCATTTAGATAATGTTCTTTTTCCTCTCCATATCCAGCTCTCTTTGAGTTTAAAAATAATACAAGGCTGGAGAGATGGCTCAGCAGTTAAGAGCACTGACTGCTCTTGCAGAGGACCAGGTTCAATTCCCAGCACCCACATGATGGCTAACAACCATCTGTAACTCCAGTTCCAGGGGAAATCAGTGCTGTCCTCCGACCTCCATGGGCATTTCACGACATGAGTGCACTTACACACATGCAGGCAATACACTCATACACACACACACACACACACACACACACACACACACAAATAAAAATTAAAAAATACAATATAAAGAATTTTATTTCTCTTGAATATTGCTTTAATTCCTGTTTTGAAACCTGGCTATGTTGCCTTTTTCTAGAAATAGATGAAAATTGTCTTTGAAATATTTTGAGAGTTACATATAGTAGTATAATTTGATGCTTATGTCAACTTGTACATATTCATTAATCTTAGTTTCTAGATTTATCATTTTAAAAGTAGTCTGGAATGATCTCCAATTACTTGCAACAATGTGGATGAATCTCACAAATATAATATTGAGTCAAAAAAGCCAGACACAAAAATGTGCATTATATGATTCTATTCATATAAAATTTAAAAACTGGGGCTGGAGACATGGCTCAGTGTGTTGGTCGTACTTGCAGGAGACCTGTGTTCGAAACCCAGCACCCACATGGCAGCTAACAACTGTCTGTAACTCCAGTCCCAGGAGATCCGACAGCGTCTTCTGACCTCCATGGGCATTGTATGACACGGGTGCACATACTTACATGCAGGCAATACATGCATACACATAAAATAAAAATAATAAAAAAAAATTTTAATTAAAAACTAAAGCCATGGACTGAGCGTGGTGGTGCACGCCTTTAATCCCAGCACTTGGGAGGCAGAGGCAGGCAGATCTTTGTGAGTTCGAAGTCAGCCTGGTCTACATAGTGAGTTCCAGGACAGCTGGGGCTACAAGGAGACCCTGTCTCAAAAAAGAAAAAAAAAAAAACAAAAAACCCAAAATTAAAGCCAGTTTAGAAGTAAGAGCTGTAGTTACCATTGTGGGGAGTAGGAAGTGACTGAAAAGATGCATAAGATTGGACTTCTGCTATGTGGATAGTGTTCTCTTACTTGGTTTGTGTGTTGGTTATACAGGTGTGTTCATTTTGTGAAAAAAATTCAAGACTATACACTTTTGATTTATACACTGTGAACTGGCTTGATTGTAGCCTTTGCTAAGATTGTTGTTTTTCTTTAAAGGTGCCAATGTGAATAGGGCTACAGCCAATAATGATCACACAGTAGTGTCACTGGCATGTGCAGGAGGCCACCTGGCAGTAGTTGAACTACTCTTGGCTCACGGAGCTGACCCTACTCATCGACTCAAGGTATTCTTCTTAATAATATATAAGTAATTTCAACTGGGGCATGGTCGCACATGCCTGTTAATCCCATTACTGGGTAGGCTGAGGCAGTAGAGTTGTTGCCAGTTCAAAGCCAACCTGGGTTACAGAGAGACTCTGTCTCCAAAACCAGAGCTATAAGATATAACATTGCTAAAGGTATCTTGGGGCTGGAGAGATGCTGCAGCATTAAGAGCATTGACTGCTCTTTTAAAGGACCCAGGTCTGTTCCCACCATTCACATGGCAGCTAATAATGGTCTGTATCTCTAGTTCTAGGGGATTTGACACCATCTTCTGACCTCCTTGGGCATTGCAAAACATAGGTGGACTTAACAGATGCAGGCAATATACTCATATACATAAAATAAAAATAATAAAAATTTTTTTAAGTTATGCTTAGAAACTGGGTGTGGTAGCACATGTCTTTGATCCCAGCACTCAGGAGGCAGAGGCAGGTGGATTTATCTGAGATTGAGGCCTGCTTGGTCTACATAGCAAGTTCCAGGTCACCTGAGGCCACAGGGAGACCCCCATCTCAAAACAAAACAAAAAACAAAAGGTTTTGGGGGGCTTGGAATGCTGGCTCAGCAGTTAAGAGCATTGACTGCCCTTGCAGAGCAAGAGGCTCATTGCCAGCTAAAAACTATTTCCAGTTCCAGGAGAGCCTATACCCTCTTCAGGCCTCTGCAGGCATTGCATGCCATGGATGCAGTTACATATATGCAGCAGAACACTCATACACATAAAATAAAATTAATTTTATAAAAAGTATACTTAAGCTGCTTGTGGTGGTACATGCCTTTAAATCATAGCACTCAGGAGGCAGAAGCAGGCAGATCTCTGAGAGATTGAAGCTAGTCTGTTCTGCATTGTGAATTTGAGGCCAGCTGGAGCTACAGGGAGACCCTGTCTCATAAAACAAAGAAACAAACAAAAAAGTATGCTTGATCTTTTAGTGCTTAATATTTGTACTATTTAAATGAGATCTGAGCTGGCTGTAGAGGTGCTTGCCTTTTAATCACAGTATTTGAGTTCAAAGTCATGTGGGTTACATGGCAAGACCCTGTTTCAAAATCATAAGATTAAAATACACCTGATTTTGTATAAGTAATAAAGCTAAATGTATTTATCAGTCAGATTATTACAGAAAATTTATGAATTAACTATGGTGTCAATTCTTCCTTAGGATGGCTCAACAATGCTTATTGAAGCTGCAAAAGGTGGCCATACTAATGTTGTTTCTTACTTGCTGGATTATCCAAATAATGTTCTGTCAGTTCCCACCACAGACGTGTCTCAGCTTACCCCTCCTTCACAAGATCAAGCTCAGGTAAAGTAAAATGAACTTTATTTGTTAATATAAGTATTCTTCAATGTGATTGAACATTTTTGGTTTAAGGAATGTCTTGGTTTTTTTCTATAAGTTGTCCTGGAAACTTCTGGCATACCCCAATTCAATAAATATGTGTGTTTTTATTTTCTCTTTTATTCATATAGAATTTGAAAATGATTAAATTGGCCAGTATATAGTGAATATGTGACTTGTACCTCTAAATGGGACTGGTGAGGTTTTGCTCAGCAGGAGAGTAAATTACTATCATTTAACTTAAATCATTGACTACTTTGTACATTGTGTCAGTATTCTTAGTCAATATTCTAAGAAATTATTCCTTGGTGAAGGCTTTCAAAAATTTTTAGCCTTTAAGAAAGAAATAAAGTGAATTTGATGGTTTATGAGTAAACTTAAAATAATATATGTTTTATTTATGGGACTTTTTTGTTCTCTGATCTGAGATGACTTTTTTCTGAGTTGACTTTTTAGGTTCCACGTGTACCAATACATACACTTGCTATGGTTGCTCCTCCCCAGGAACCTGACAGAACTTCCCAAGACCCATCTGCTGCCCTTTTAGGAGTACAGAAAGGTTAGTTGTTGAATTATTTTCTTTAAAATTGATACTTTTTCTCCTAATTAATAAATCTGTACTTTAATGGTACATATAATATACCTATTTTTAATTAAGATATATAATTTTAACAAACAGTATTGTCACAAGATACTAAAATAGGAAAAATTTTAAATGCTGTAAAAATGACTTACTGTTTTCCTGTTAACATACTTCTAGATGTAGTTTTCAGTTGACCACAGGTAAAATAATTTACTTAAAAAGTAAATTAAGCTTTTTAATTACATTCAAATAGAAAAATTTGTTAGACATTCATTTTCTATCTAACACCTTTGTTTTGTTTTGTTATGTTATGTTTTTTGAGACAGGCTCTTGCTGAGTAGCTGTCTCTGACCTGGAACTCACTATGTAGATCAGGCCGGGCCTAAACTTGTAGCAGTCCTCCTTCCTCTACCTCTTCAATGCTGGGATTATAAGTATATGCCACCTTACCCAACGTCTACTTAACAATTCTTTAGCTAAACACTGGTAAAATAATAATGAAACTGTGTTGGCTGCCTATGTAAATCTTTATAGTACCAGTTCAATTAAAAAGAGGCTGAAAAATTATATTTTATTTATGTAATGCTGGAATATAGTGAGTGAATTTGGGTACATAACTATTAGTATGTATACCTAAATGATTATCAAAATATATATAAATAAAATTTAAATGACCTTTTAAAATGATTTTTTGGCATTTAAGTCAGTGTTTCACAGTGTAGTCCAGGCTACCTTCAAGCTTATGGGAATATTCCTGCTTCGGTCCTCCAAGTACTGAGATTATAGGCATGAGCCACCATACCTCTATTTAGAGGAATGTAACTCTTTTAAGGAGTCAAACTTAGGAACTCTGGTTTTGTTCTCCTGTCTTTTCACTTGCAGATATAAAGTGTCTTCACTTAATGATTATGTACTGTACTGAGTTTTCTGAAAGAAATAATTTGTAGGATTTTAAAAACTGCATAAGGATTGGGGCTGTTACTTAGTGGTAAAACACTTGTGTAGCATGCATGAGACTCTGGGTTTTATCACCAATACTCATCCCCACCCCCCAAAAAAACCTAACATATAGAAGTTTATGAATATATCTCATTTAGTGTAAATAATGGCCTATTGAAATCACAATTAGATGTATAAGTGTTTGGTAATGTCTTTAATATTATTATTTAAGAAAAACTGGTTTAAAGTAACTATAGTAGTAAATAGAAAGCTTTTACAAATTAATTTATTTAGTGAGGTGAAGGCATGTATGTCATGGCTAATATGTGGAGATCAGAAAACAGTTACAGGACTCAGTTCTTGACTTCCACCGTGTGGGTTACAGGAATTGAACTCAGGTCATCAGGCTTGGTGGCAAGCGCTTTTACTTGCTGAATCATCTCACCAGCTCCCAAGGATTACTTGATTTCTTTTCTTTTTTTGTCTTAATTTTAGAAGATATTTTATTTATTTTTATTTTATGTGTGTGTTGCATGCGTGATGTAAGTGTACCATATGTGTACAATGCCTGAGGAGGTCAGAAGAGGGTGTTACATCCCCTGGAACTGGAGTTATAGATTGTTGTTAGCCACCATGTGGATGGTAGTAACCAAACCTGGGTCCTTTGCAAAAGCAACAAATGATCTTAACTGCTGAACCATCTTTTCAGCCCAGGATTACTTAATTTCTAAATTATTAGTTTCAAGGATGAAATATCAGTAGTCTCTCTGAAGTAAGCTATTTCTAGTAGTTTTCTACTAGATCCAGGGGTATAGAGACAAGGTCTCTTTATTTTTTTCATGCTGGCCTTCAATTCCTGGGCTAAAGTCATCCTCTGTCTCAGCCACCTGAGGCCTAGGACCACAGAAATGTATCAGCTTGCATAGATTTTCTCACTGTGTTAATCTTAACAATTAAAATGCAAAGAAAGCATGCATTTTTAGAGGAATCCGAACATCTTAACCAGCTAATACACTTTCTTAAAATATTTTAAGCTAAATGCCTCCTTTATTTTTCATTTTGTTTTTCTGATTTAAAAAATTTTAATTTATTACTATGCATGTGTGTACATGATATGTGGGGGGCGCACTCTGTGTTGAAGTCAGAGAAAACTTTGTGGATTCAGTTCTCTCTTTCCACCTTTACTTGGGTTTTAGGGATCAAACTGAGGTCACCAACCTTGTAGCAAGCATCTATACCAGCTGGGTCATCTTCACAGGCTCTCTTTACTGATTTTTAAGACAGGGTCTCACTGTATAGTCTAGGGTGGCCTGTGTGATACAGGCTAACTCACCAGTCTAAATGCCTCTGCTTCCCAAGTACTGAGATTGCAGGTTTGTGCCACCATACTTGATTTGTTTTTGTGTTTTGTATGGCTAAATTTTATAGAAGGCTGTGAGAATTTGGGCTTGGGAAATTCAGTATTTAACAGGAAGTCACTTTAAAAAGATCACAGAAACCCACAAAATTACAAATAAATAAGTTAGATAAACTATGTTCAGAGAGGAATAAAGCATTCTAACCTTAGAGTTAATATGTCAGTAGCTGGAATGTTTGGATAGTGATCTTAAAATTGATATTTAAATGAGTAATCAAATGTGATTTTGTTTTGTTTAGAAATGAAATTTTTGCTTAGAGCCTGTCTTAAACTAAACATCTATTTATTTTCTCAACTTTGATGTTTTATTACCTACTGAATGGAATAAAAATGGACTATCTAAGAATCCTTTGATTTTTACTGAATTATTAAAGAAGGAATGTAGTTACCCTTTTTTAATAAGTATTTTTATTTATTATTTTCATTTTATGTGTATGAGTGTATTGCCTGCATGTATGTGAGTGCACCCATGTCCAGCAATGCTGCAGAGGTAGGAAGAGTGCTTCAAATTCCCCTGGAACTGGAGTTATGGATGGTTCATAGTCGCCATGTGGGTGCTGGGACTTGAACCCGGTTCCTCTGCAAGAGCAGTCAGTGCTTTTAACCACTGAGCCATCTCTCCAGCCCCAGAACATAGTTAACTTTAAAAAAAATTATTATTTATATTTTATGTGTATGAGTATATTGCCTGCATGTAGGTAGGTGCACCGGTGTTGTGCAATGCCACAGAGGTTAGAGGATGGTGTTGGATCCCCTGGAACTAGAGTTACAGACAGTTGCTAGTCACCATGTAGGTGCTGGGAACCGAACCCTGGTCCTCTTAACCAAGCTGAGCCATCTCTCCAGCCCCAGTAGCTAACATTTTTAAAAAAAAATTTTTTTTATTATTTTTATTTTATGTGTATGCATGTATTGCCTGCATGTAGGTAAGTGACCCGTGTTGTACAGTGCCCATGGAGGACAGAAGAGGCTGTCAGATCCCCTGGAACTGGAGTTACGGACAGTTGTTAGCTGCCATGTGGGTGCTGGGATTCGAACCCGGGTCTTCTGCAAGAACAATTAGTGTTCTTAACCACTGAGCCATCTCTCCAGCCCCCATAGTTAACATTTTTAGCTAAACACTTGGCATCTTCTTAGCTGCCTAGCAATTATAAAGGTTCACACAGTAATAATAATGCATTATGTTAAAATGCTGTGCTAGTAAAAAAACAAAAATCAAATGCATTATAGATTATTTGTTGCTATGAATTCTTTTTTTTGTAGCCCTGGCTGGCCTGGCCTGGAACTCACCCTATAGACCAGGCTGACCCCAAACTCACAGAGATTCTCCTGCCTCTGCTTCCTGAGTGCAGAGATTCAAGGCATGTGCCACCACACACCACACCCCTGTGAATTTTTTAAAAAATACTTTATTTTTATTTTATGTGCATTATTAGTGTATTGCCTGCATGTGTGTAAATGCATCAGTGTCCTGCGATGCCTGTGGTGGTCAGAAGAGGGTGTTGGATTCCCTTGGAACTGGAGTTACAGACAGTTGTTAGCTGCCTTGTGGGTACTGGGAATCAAACCTGGGTCCTCTGCAAGAGCAGCCTGTGCTCTTAACTGCTGAGCCATCTCTTCGGCCCCCTATGAATTAATGGCTCAGTGGTTACATGAGTATTTAATATTCTTCCAGAGGATGAAAGTTCAGTTCCCAGCACCCATAGCTGCCTATAATTCTAAAGGGGATCCAACAGCCTCTTTAGCCTCCAATGACACCTATATACACATGGCATATACTCAAACAGACACACATATATCTAAGAAATAAAATTCAGGGTTCTTTTTTGTTTTTTTTTAAGTCATTTGGCCGGGCATGGTGGTGCATGCCTTTAATCCTAGCACTTGGGAGGCAGAAGCAGGCGGATATTTATGAGTTCTAGCCTGGTCTACATAGTAAGTTCCAGGACAGCTGGAGCTACAGGGAGACCCTGTCTCAAAAAGCCAAAAATAAAAGTTATTTGATGGGGCTGGAGAGATGGCTCAGCGGTTAAGAACACTGGTTGTTCTTGCAGAAGACCCAGGTTCAAATAACAATTCATAACTCCAGTTTCAGGGAATCCAATGCCCTCTTCTGGCCTCTGCAGGTATCGTACACTTATATACATGCAGGCAATGAGTGAACATAGACTCATACAAGGCAATACATACACATAAAATAAAAATAAAATAAATAAAAAATTTAAAAAGTTTAAAAAAAAAGTCATTTGATGATGTAAAGGCATACTCTGGACATGAGCAGTCATGTTAGAAATAAAAGTCTATCTTAAAACAGGATACTAATTTTGATTACATTTTTTTTTATGTATATGTGGGGAGGCAATACATACACATAAAATAAAAATAAAATAAATAAAAAATTTAAAAAGTTTAAAAAAAAAGTCATTTGATGATGTAAAGGCATACTCTGGACATGAGCAGTCATGTTAGAAATAAAAGTCTATCTTAAAACAGGATACTAATTTTGATTACATTTTTTTTTATGTATATGTGGGGACACACATTGGGTGTGTGGTGTGTGTGTGTGTGTGTGTGTGTGTGTGTGTGTGTGTGAGAAGGTCAGATGACAATTTGCAAGATGAAAGTTTTGTTTTGTTTTGTTTTTTTGTCCTTTTTGAGACAGGGTCTCCTTGTAGCCCCATCTGTCCTGGAACTCACTATATAGACCAGGCTGGCCTTGAACTCACAGAGATCCACCTGCCTCTGCCTCCCAAGTGCTGGGATTAAAGGTGTGCACCACCACGCCTGGCAAGATGAAAGCCTTTTAAAGCTAAAAATGATGCAAGGATAAAATACATTTTTCTTCTTTTCTTTGTGGTACTGAGTATTGAACCCAGCGCCTCACATGTAGTACGTTAGCACCCTCCTACAGAAGTATACCCCCAGCCCAACACATCCTTTTTTCTCAAGCCCTCTTGATAAGTTATTCCTTTCCTCTGAACTTCTGTAGTACTTTA